GCTCTTCCTGGAAGCAAAGGAGACACGGGAAACCCGGGAGCAGCCGGAATCCCAGGCACCAAGGGTTGGGTCGGAGACCCTGGGCCCCAGGGTCGGCCTGGGGTTTTTGGTCTCCCAGGAGAAAAAGGTAAGGGTGCCCTCAGCAGGGCAGTGGTGTTCCAGGCCTTTGGAACCACCTACCTCTGCCACACACGCGTCCTGAACTCCCCATCTGCTGCAGGGCCCGTGGGCGAGCAAGGACTTATGGGCAACCCCGGAGCAACCGGCACTGTGGGTGACAGGGGACCCAAGGGACCCAAAGGAGACCAGGGTGTTCCAGGTAAGTGCAGCTCAGTCCCTCCACCCTGGGAGCACCTGAGCTCGGGCCGAGGCCGATGGCTGCCCCACTACACGGCCGGGAGCTCCGAGCCCAGCAGACACCAGCACTGGGCCCGCCGGCACACTCTCGGCATCTGGGACTGGGCGGCCCGGGAGGGGGCCATGGTGCTGTGGACTCGAGTCACCTTCCGTTGGTGAGGGTGCTGCTCACCTCTGCAAAGCCAGGCTGGCCTAGAAGCCCAAGGTGGCCCTGGACACCCGAGCAGCCTGAGCACAGGAAATGGGGTGAGGGTTCCAGGCACGGTGCAGTGCTCATCGCCCATTTTCTCCCCTCCAGGTGCCCCCGGCCCTGTAGGCGCCCCAGGGATCGCAGGAATCCCCCAGAGGATCGCCGTCCAGCCTGGGACAGTGGGTCCGCAGGGACGGAGGGGCCCTCCCGGGGCACAGGGAGAGATGGGGCCCCAGGGCCCTCCTGGAGAGCCAGGTAGGAAGGGCCCTGCGTCCATGCGTGTCTCTCTCGCTCAGCACTGGTTTCCAGCCCCACTCACGCTCTTCTGCTGGCTTGCAGGTTTCCGGGGAGCTCCAGGGAAGGCTGGGCCCCAGGGCAGAGGCGGCGTGTCTGCTATTCCTGGCTTCCGAGGGGACCAAGGGCCCATGGGGCACCAGGGACCCACCGGCCAAGAAGGTAAGTGATGAGCAATGGGAGGGAGAGGGCGGGGGCTCTCCTGGGCCACGGGAGCGACCCCGCGGCTTCCACAGGCAGCTAGAACGAACGGCACTGCTCTCTCTGCCCTAGGGGAGCCGGGCCGTCCAGGGAGCCCGGGCCTGCCGGGCATGCCGGGCCGCAGCGTCAGCATCGGCTACCTGCTGGTGAAGCACAGCCAGACCGACCAGGAGCCCATGTGCCCCGTGGGCATGGACAAGCTGTGGAGTGGGTACAGCCTGCTGTACTTCGAGGGCCAGGAGAAGGCCCACAACCAGGACCTGGGTAAGTGTCACCCGCCCCGCGGCCCACTCATGTCTTAGCCCTGGCTGGTCAAGGCCCAGGCCACGGAGGTTCACGGATCCACAAGGCTGGTGGCTCCTTCTGGTGGAAGGCCCTGAGCACACCCACATCCCAGGGCTCCGAAAGGATTCCGAAAGGCAGCACAGTTTTAAAGCCCTCACCCTCGCACCCTCAGGGCTGGCAGGCTCCTGCCTGCGCCGGGT